CGCTAAAGCACAGTCTGTAGTCCGATTCCGACTATATCATATCAAGCTTTAATAATGCATGCAAAAGTCACACAAATTGTTATTTTAGTTCCCAAATGGAGTAATCTGTTAATCAATATATTTCGTTTCAGTACGTCTTATTAAATGCTACAGTGTAATAATTGTGAGCAATATCAAGCTAACACATGGCGCAAAAAATCATCTAAATTCGTTTGTAGATGGTTTGCTAATAACCGGTTGTGTAACGCTTGAAGAAATACTTTAAATGTGGCTCAGCATATCGATGATTAAAATACATGTTAAATGAGATAGTTTGTTATTTATATGACAGGTGGAATTAATATTCAGAATTTATGATGAAAAGTTAAAGATAAACAAAATGTGCAACCTTTATGTACATTAACAACATATTGAATAAATATGGATAAGGAAGCGAGGAATAATAAAATAACTGCAAGCTGTTGTAGATCATATAGTATATTGAGAATTAATTCAAGGCCAATATATTACTCAGAATAGAATTGTCATTTGCGATACGTCTTTTTTTAAAAATAAAAACATGTCGGTGTCATCGGTCCATTGTTCGTCTCTGTTTTGTACCTTTTAGATTAGTTTTTCATGCTTCGTCAGATACCTTATGTTCTCGTGCGACACACATGTTTTCACGAAAGCAAAGTTCTTGCTACCCATTTACACAACTATTCATAAATTATGCAATCTTAGTTTTCAAAAACACTTGCAGCAAAGGTATATGAGGATGACATGAGGCGTACAGGCAAGGTTATAGAAGAAGACGAAGAAGAATATGTATTGTAGTGTCAACCGCAGTACACATAAAATGACAAGGCAAGAATGTAAAAACTCAGCAGCCAGCCAAAATGGCCTACGAGACACTAAAAGACTCATAAAAACAATATTATATATATATGCACACCACGTTTAATAATAATTATGAAAATAACATTCAAAATATCCCCCGTACAAGCATCCTATTTACACACAACCACATCCATTCCAACATCCAGTCCAGACTCACAGCAGCTTACTCAAACTGTTCAAACAAACCCGCTCATTCAAACACATCCAAACCCTTATTGACAACCGTTATATCAGGATGTCACAGTGTGCATGTATATTAACCCGAATGTACAGAGGCAATAGCTGGAATCGTTACAAATTGGCACTCGTCTTCAGGATTAAAAATGCGTTTGAAAAAAACCGTGTAAATCTCGCCTGTTGGGATATCGCTTGCATCGTTGCTGCTTTTGAGATAATGTCGTTTGTTACTAGTCAGTAAAAGTGCCAATATATTATTTCCAGGTATGAAAATACGAGTGGAAAGAAATCGCAAACCGCAGAAAGGAGGCATGGGTTTGATTGTTGAGCCCAGGTATCATAACACTAAATGACATATTTTGTTGAAGAGGAACAAGTGAAGTCGTTCTCTAATCCAAATCAAAATAACCCTTTTTTACTCACACACTGGACTCACATTGTCCATAGTGTGTCAACTTAAATACGTATGTAACACATTTTCCCTCATCATACATTAAATGACACCTTTCTTCTTGATATTGTGTATTCAATGTTTAGCTTTAAGGTGTTACCGTTCTGGCATATCATTGAAATCACATAGTGGATAACAGTTGAGATAAGGAGTGTAGCGTGTCGTGTTAATTAGATCATCATTTAAATTGCACTGCTTTGTGTATTCAGCTGTTTATGGGCAATTAACTTACATGGTAATGCCAATACAAACAATATAAACAACTGACAAGATATAGATACTGTATGTAGAACCCTGGGGTCGATTCTCAGAATGAAATAACATGATGTGAGTGTCAAATAATTAGCATTTTAAAAATGTGTCATGACTCTATTTATTATAAAATAGATATTACAATGTAGTTGTCTGATTTGGATTGGTGTGGTTAATTGTGTAGGTTCTTTGAAGAATATTTAGTCATAAATATGTCTCACTTAACTTTTTTTCTTCAAAATATCAGACGAAAGATCATCAAGTAACCACTTAATAAAGTGTATCACATTAAACATATAACGGAAGGTAAGCCATAGTACATAGATGCACACATACATTTGTCTCTTTATCTCATTTAAGAAATAAAATTTTCCTAGCTATTATGCCCTTCGTACAGCGAGTTCAATAATGAATTATTCACTCAAATATTATTTATTGGAATATGTCGAAAGGAAAAGTCATAATAATTAAACTTTTGGCAAACAAACGTATATGTTCATATAACTTAAAAGACAACTAACCTTTTAGAGATGCACATTTGTACAAGTTCAATTTACGAAATGTAATGACGGTTAATACATTTAAGGTTATATCTAATCAGTCGTTTTTGCTTTGAACATTTTCAAAGTTTGACTGAAATATGAAGTATCAAAATATGTGTAAAATAATTGGGAGAAAGACTTATATTTCATGACATGCACATGAAAGTGTCATAAAAGCAATGTCTGTGGGTTTTTTTCATCGAGATTTATTCATTATATGTACATATTTACCTAATTTAATATATTTACAATGAACTAAGCACGCTTGTGTTCATGGGTTATTAGACTCAGCTTTAGCGCATAACGTAACAGAGTAAAGGGACATTACAGTCCAAAAGAAATTAACTGGTTTTACGTTCACATGGGGCTTCCATGCTTTACAGAGCAAACACGTCGCTGGCGGGGATAGCATATCCAACTGAATTGAACACATATGCCTGCTTCACTTGGAAACTGTTATTTCAATATATTCAGCAGCGCTTAATTGCGACATTCCGAAACCCATTCATTGTTTCCTTGTTTACTTGTAGATGGCTATGAAGAGATAAATCTAGTGTTGTCAAAGTAAGAACCTCGCTTCTTCTTTGTCATTCTACCTTGATCTTTTATTCTTTCCGTGTACGCATTGTGAAGGGATAAAGTAACACAATGAAAGTGCATAAGCAAATTGTCTACCACATGCGTTTGTTATATTTATGAAGCATAATGAAGGATATTTGGTGACTAAAGTATAAACATGTTATACTGCCAATGTCCCACGCCTTTTTACAAATTGAAATATAGCACATACTTTCTGAACCATACTTCATGCCTTCATTTAATTTGTGAAATTGCATGATATTAATTTCTCTTTGCATCTCAACATGATTACAATTTAGGGCGTGTGTAGGAACATATTTCCGCATGTTATTATACAGGTGTTGATGCTTTTGTGCATGTATGCCATTGAACAATATTTCAAAGAAGCATTCATAAAGTGTGTGAAAAATAAACTGGAATGCATGCCTGTAAATATCCCTTGTTGTTCATAAAAGCGACAAAACCACATCACGAATCATAAGCAATCTTATTGTACGATTCCAGCTATACCAAAAGCCTGTTTTTATGACTCAAAACTAATTAGCGATGATACCAAGTGACAGGTGGCTCTAGTGACAAATAGTAAGTCACATTCTATATCATGCACGTTTGTCATTTCCTAGGATGATTACATTCCAGGCTTTTAGATCACAACTTGAACATCTTGGCATATTTGCATATGTGTATTCATTCACGTATGTTATATGTAAATACAAAACGTCACTGCCAGAGAACAACCAGTCTCGATTATCCGCCCAAATAGTTTCCATTGGGTGTAAAAGGCAAAAGATCAGTGAACATCAGTGACGACATCGGTTAATACGATGCAGCAATGATAACGAATTACAAGACATTTGTACAAAGAACACTTTTAATTTATACTTTGAAATACAACCATTGCGTTCAATTGTATGAACCAGATCAATACATTAAAAAATAGATTATATTGAGCACACAGTCTCTGTAATTATAAGTGTTATTGGGATTGACGTTTCTGTGGAACTTCTCCAGTCCATATACATCATTGTGTGTCATTATAATGCGCAGAGATAGTGAGAGAGTTTGATTTTACGCCGCTTTTAGCAATATTCTAGCAATATTACGGCGGGGGACACCGGAAATGGACTTCACACATTGTACACATGTCGGAAATTGAACCCGGGTCTCCAGCGTGACGAGCGAACACTTTAACAACTAGGCTACCCGACCGCCCAAAGGACAGTGAGACGCATGTGGTAGATGTTTACCACTCTGGTGGTGACAGAGAAGGTGTCTGGAATTCGAACCAATATTAAATATTCCCCCGCAACAACTGTAACGTGCTGTACATTCTGCACAGCTTACATTCATAACCCCGTGCGTGGTTGGAACATCCACGTCTTTGTTCTTCATAGGGACCAAGGCATGCCTGTGCGCTGACCTGGACTTCTTTCTGTTCAATATGTACGATGGCATTCCCTGGGCCGCAGCACCATGACCTTCCGTAGCCATCTTCTCATTCACTGTGACCTGACGTTGATGTCCTCGGTTTATTTCTTTAGTCATCTACTGGAGGCTGGGAAGGTGTCTGAGATTCGAACCTATATCAAGGGTGTCCATAGTCTTTGTGTTATTCCCCTGTTGTATCAAATAGCTCCGGCAGCAAGGCGTCATAACTTTAAATGTGACATACAGTTTGCACAGCTTACATTAATGGAACCAATGTGGGCTTGTGTTCAGCTAGACATCCTTCAGTGCCGTACGACGACATTCCACAAGGTCGTACGATGACATACGGTTCTCTTCTTCTCATCCAGTGAGACCTGTCGTCTTTGTTCTTCACAGGGATCAAGGCATGCCTGTATGCTGACCTGGACTGTTCCGCAGCACCATGAACTTCCGTGGTCATCCTCTCATTCACTGTGACCTGACGTTGATGTCCTCGATCTATTTCTTCAGTCATCTACTGGAGCCCGGTAAGTGATCTGGGATTCGAACCTATACCCAGGGAGTCTATAGTCTTTGTATAGTCTCTCTGCTGTATCCAATGGAATCCAATGTAAGCTTGTGTTCAGCTGTGCCTCCTTCAGGGCCGTAAGACATTGCACTGGGTCGTACGACGACACAAGGTTGTCGTCTTCTCATCCACTGAGACCTGCCGTTGATGTCCTCCATCTGTGTCTCCAGTCTTCTTCTGGATCCCAGGGGTGGGCTGTTACTGAAACCTCGCGGCGCTTTGAGAACTTCAGCTGGTTATACTGGATAGCTGGAATAAAAATAATAATTATTTAATGGATATATTTCACAAATATATTGACTTATATTCATTGTTGTTGAAAGGGGCACAGTAGCTCCAGCAATTTCGTCTTATGTGAGTTATTGTCTTGGAGTTTCTTCTTTGAGTTACACTTTCATCACTTACACTACACATAACACGGGTTTGGCGTCGCAATATTACTGAAGTGACTGAGTGGGTGAGTTTGGTTTAACGCCGCTTTTAACAGTATTTCAGTTATATCACGGCGTGTCAGCTTAATTTGGGAGGAAAGCCCGAAGTGATGCAGGTCTCAGACGTTTACCACGTCGGTGAAACACACAAACACGGGTATGGTGCTGACAAGCCTAGAAACGTAATCGGGGCGAACCGGGATTCGAACCCATAACCACCATAGGTTTCTGGCGTGCCCAAGGGACGCAACTCTGCACGGCGAATCGCGGTGCCTGAGACGACTGGGCCACCCGTGTCCCCCAATATTACTGAAATGCCATAATGGTGGAAAATAGCAATTAACCACGACACTCTTAACAGCCAAACAGCGACATCGAGTGAGTTAGTGTACTATATGTATGGTTGTCGTTATTGGTCTGGGTGCACTTAAAATAAAATAGAATAGAAGTATGTGTGTTTACTATATTACTACAAGAATGATTATATGCTATATGTTTTATACATACCTGCCAGATCAGTTTCTGTGCTGTACGCTTGTGCTGGTAGTTCCAAGCAGAATCGAGTAATGCTGATCTACGGTCCTTGTCTTGTAAAATCTCAGTAAACTTCATGCAGGTCGACTAAAGGTCGCAGAATCCAAACTCGACAGCGGCACAAAGTAGTCCTGCAAAAAACAATTGTAAAAAAATAATTGTCACGAAAAAACATCAGATAGAAACACAACGAAGTACAATAAAGGATTTTCCTTATTAGTGTGCAAGTTGATAGATATAAGCACAGGATAAATGCACACACTTACCTATTACATTGCTGGAATCTATTTCAACCTTGCCCGAATGAACGAAACGTAGAAATGCCCTGAAATCCTCAACTTGATAATCAGGGACCTTGATGCAGAGTTTGTGTTGTATTGGGGAAGGTTTGGATTTCTTTGATCTTTTCTTACTGGGGTTATCGAGTTCGACTTGCTTTTGTTGTTGCAGAATCAGTTGGTACAGATATCTGAAAACATGGAATTTAAAAAGTGCAAATGCAAATTCTTCATTGTTACTTTTCTCACATGTCAAAACTGTCTGAGAAGAAGAATTTATAGCTAAAAACGTTGACCCTGTTTTGAAGAGTGAGCTTACGTTTTCTTTGTGTATTGATTGTTATCCTGTTTAGAGGATTCGGATACTAATACATCTTTTTACACAGATGACCTTTTTCAATTATATGCTTTAAGACGTTTATCCTGCAACGTGAATTACCTGCTTCTGGTAGCTAAAATAGCCTTGACTCCATAGATAGGAACCTGTTTTCTCCCAACCAGGAATGTGACGTCACACATGTCTGGCATTTCCAAAATGAGGGCAAGGTTATCCTGAAGCTTCCCTGTACTCCTCAACATCATCACATCCCCGCATGTTGGGGTTCGGGTGGATCTACAACGTCCTGTAGGTTGCTGTTTAAAGGCAGATGCTGGACATACAGGAGGGTTTAGGGGTAAGTGGTGGTCGTTTGCCTCCTCATCTGAGAAGTCACTCGACTCATAGCCGGAGGAAGAACTTTCTGCTTAAGTAAATGAAGATGTTTTAAAACAGTGGCTAGATTTAAAAGACAAATACACCATCCGTATTATATTGATTATAACATGAAAATATATCTGACGATATTATATAAGATAAATAATTTATCGATATAAACCAGCGTACTAATGTATTGAATAGCCTAAACGTCCACGTTAGGAAAGTATATTCAATCTGAAATGAACTCTGCAAATAATACTTGAAAATAACTTATGATATATGACTTGTGCATGTACTGGATACTTTAAAATATACAAACATATGATGGGTCCTGAAACGACAGTGAGACATTAGAACTATAACTCTGTAACATTTACTTATTGAGGTGAGAAAGTTTGCGTTTTAGTCCTTTAAAAAACTTAAACATGTAAACAACATAAAGTATATTTATTCCTACCATAAACATCTGATTCGTAGTTACAATGGTCAACATGTTCCAAGACATCACTGTCAAGGAGACAAACTCGGGAATCATAACGGTTCATATCTTCTTTCAGATAAAATGTTCAACTGTTCATAGAAGTATTATACAGTTTTCGACGTCTTTATACACAGTTATCTTAGGTAGCAATGTCACCTCATACACTCGGCTAAGCTTTATACCCAGGCGTTTCCAAACACAGCTTAAACTGTAGTTCTTACCACTTCATGTCATACTTACATCAATGTTGACATATCGGCTTCAGTTTCGTGTGTTGTGCTTGTGACACGTGCTCCAGGGGTGAATAAGTCGTAATCACGTGACCGCTGCAACCACAACAACATACAGATAAGACCTGTTACTTAGGAAAACATTCACATCCGTGAAAACGACTATCTGGGTTGTTTGTATTAAGCGTGTAGGTGACTCGGTAATGTGTGTTAAGTGGGTAATTGAGCCCTGATTGACGGAACTGAGAGGAAGGAGATTGATAGATTTGTTTGTATATGTGTTGATAATAACCTATTGTATAAAACTTGAATAAAACTTTAAAATCTCCGTGTCCGTTGTATGAATCAGACAAAATCATAAGGCATATTTCGCAGATTGCAGTTTTACTGTGATCAGTGGGTCAGTATGCTTCGGTTCAGGTACATTCCCAAATGCTACATCAAACTCGGGATAAAATATCAAGTTAAAACAAAGTGCATAAATTTCATATAAATTTTTGTATGGTTTGCTTTGCAGATCGATTCTTAAAATACATGTTTCGATCAGATAGATTATTATTTACGTCACCAAACGGAGGCATCGATGTATCAGCTTGATTTATGTTCACAATTTATTATGAAATATCATGAAAATGTACAAGTTTGACGTATATTAATAACACGTTAAAAAAATAAGATATATTGCTTTGAATTAAACCTTAATTACGACGCTATTACATACCATATTGTACATATAAAATGAATTCAAGCGAAGATATCCCTTAGAATAGAATAGTAATTTGCGACTTGTTTTTAAAATACAAAGTTTCGACCACATCAAACATTTGTTTCCTGTATAAGTAACTTCGGATTTTAAAATCTGTATAATGAATCATTATGTTTGCCGGCCTGTGTCATCGGAACATTGATAGTTTTTTTTGTGTGTCGAAAAACGATATCGTTTCGTTTACCTTTTAGAAGACCCGTGAAGATCCAGGAAGAGAAAATAGTCTTCAGCAACCCATGCTTGCCGAAATATGCGACTATGCTTGTCGTAAGTAATAATTATTTTCGTCGTATCCAAATTGCATAGATCGATGTTCACGATGTCAATCACTGGACTGTCTTGTCCAGAATCGTTTATTTACAGATCGCCGTCATATGGATGGAATGTTGCTGAGTGCGCCGTTAAACAACAAACAACAAACAAAACCTTTTAGGAAACAAATGCATGCTCAATCCAGATAATCAAACTTCTCACGCGGGACATGTGATTTTCCCTTATGTAACAATCTATATTTCCAACATTTAGAGGCAAGGTTATATAAGAAAATGACATAGAGTGCGCGTATGTATTAACCCGAGGGCGCAGTCAGTATTGGTTGGAAGCGTCAGTTATAGTTCCAGAAGCTGCAGATTTTTTACGCAATTTTATCACTTCATTTATATATTGGTACTCAACTACAAAACAAATCGAAATCTTGCGTGTGTTTATCGTTCTTAACATCGAGAAAATTCCATTCAATTCCCAGTCGATAAAATTACCGTGTTCATAACAGAAACAACAAGTTATTCCTGAGCAAATAACATATATATGTGCATATGAATATTAATATATGTATAACAATATGTGATTTTTTAAAAACTAATACGGTTAGAAATATGGCTAGAAGAAATAGGGAAAGGCAAAACGGGAGGCCATGTGTTTGTCGTACATGACTGTTTGTTCCCCGAACATATATGTGGTATATTACCGCATGACACATTAAGCGTTTAAGTGATATATTTTGTGGTGGTGGAATAAGCGGGATCGTTCCCTAAACAAAATCAAATACATATTTTTTTTATCATACTAGATTGTAGGGAAATTGTTAATGGTAAATACTTAAGAAACATTTATCCAAGGTCGAATTAAAAATTGCAATTGCATTAATATTTTTTAGAATACACAAACAACATACTTATATCTATATATCCTCTATATGCCCATGCAGCGATATCTTGGCTTATGACACATTCTGTTAAGGTGTTACCGTTCTGTCATATTGTTGAAATAACACAGGGGACAGCAATTAAGAGAACACGTGTATCATGTCGCGTTAATTAGATCATCAATTAAATTTCATTACTTTGCGTATCTCAGCTGTTTATGGGCAATTAGCTTATAGCGTATAAGCTTTCAGAAGTACCTGACACGTTAACAGATGAATGTGGGTATTGTGCTGCTAGTGACACGCAATATACTTTAACACGATATGAGTGTCAAACAATGTGCTCTTAACCATTATAATATACGTTTTGACCTGGCATTATTTATTGGTATATGCAATAATTGCATTGTTCGCTTCAAACATAATGCTTTCTATATGATTTACCTTGGGAAATATTTCTTCTTTAGGGATACTGACAATTTATTTATTTATTTATTTATTTATTTATTTATTTATTTATTTATTTATTTATTTATTTATTTATTTATTTATTTATTTATTTATTTATTTATTTATTTATTTATTTATTTATTTATTTATTTATTTATTCATTACTATTTCACAATGAATACACATGTACTTAAATGTGTCTCCTAAACGCCTAATAAGGCTGGGTGTTCAAGCTTTTGTTTTGAACACTTATGTCAACTGGGTTTTTTTCCATGACGGCTGAGAAAATGTGGACACCAAAGGTTGGTGTTGCTGGAATATTACTCGACCTGAAGTGAAAGTTGACTGTTATGGCAATAATTAACAGGCCATAATTACAATTTGGGAAGAAAACGTATCCATTTAACTTATATATCCACCAACAGCAATGACGGTTAACACAGTTTGGGTGATATCTCAAAAATCCATTTCATTTTGAACATTTAAAAATCTTGACTTGATGAGACACAATTGTAAATAGGACTAAAATGATTTGGACAAAAACTGTCATTTCATAAGTCGTGTACAACGTTGTAATTATCATAAAAGACAAAACGAAATCTGCATCTGTTTTAAATTATTTCTGTCTGCTTATTTGCCTATAGTTAAGGCTCAGTTTAAGAGCTTAAAATATACATGATTTCGCAATGAATTAAGAAATAAAGTGAATAACACTGGTTCTACGTTTTAAGGCTTCAATGTTTACAGAGCAAACACGTTGTTGCTGCGGATGGCAAATCCAACTTAATTAAACACATACGTCGGCTTCACATGTTATTTCAATATACACCTACAATGTATTCCACAACGCTTAATCTTCCGAATAACATACATTGTTTGACGTAGTATTGTCACAGTAAGGATGTCGCTGCATTGGCATTTTATAATGATGTTATATTCGTACATATACGCATTGCATTGGGACTCAATTAAGTAAAAAAGTCGCGAAGGGACATATGAAAATAAACGCGCTTATCATGTTTCTTAGAATGTTGATGGGAAAGGTTTATTAGATAAATTAAGTATAAAGATATCATATTGTCTGGGACGTAACTTTTTTTACAAATTGATACCAGAGTCGAGGGAGAAGAGGACAAGACGGTTGCAATGGTGCCAATCCCATTGTCTTTTTGGACAGTAAAATATGTTTAAAACAAAACAAATATACGTCTAACTTTCATTTACTTTTGGTAAAAGCATGTTATCATTACTTGGCATATCCACATGTGCGCGTGTGTATTTGAATAAGCATAGGCATGTATAGGTACATCTTTCTTGTATGTGCGCGTGCGTTTTCTAGTATATATGAACTGTGTATATCAAATACGGGTATGTATGTATCTGAATGTCAAAATGCGGATACGTTTACATGTTTGTGTGTCGGCATGAGTGCATGTTATGGTTAACCATCATGCGAAAAGTCTCGCATTTACGCATACTTGTGTGTCTGGGGGTATTTTATATGGTTATATACATGAGTAAACGCATATGCATTGGTGAATGTTGTGTTCTTCCAAGATATCCACATGTGTAGCCTTATAGTTTATACAATGGCTTGTACACGCATGCTGTGTCCCGCAAGTGCAAGTAAGATTTGTTTGTCGTTTAACTCAGCAATGTTCCAGCTATATGCCGGCGGTCTGGAAGTAATCGAGTCTGGACCAGACACTCCGGTGCTTGACATCATGAGCATCGATCCACGTAATTGGGATACGATGACATGCATCAACCAAGTCAGCGAGCCTGACGACCCGATGCCGTTAGTCGCCTCTGACGACAAGCAAAGTCGCCTTTTACGGCCAGCATGGGTTGCTGAAGACCTATTGAACCTCGGATCTTAGTAAGAGAACAGGAAACAGTTGTGTTCAGAATGTACATTTTCAAGTAAGTAAATAACGAGGTGGAATGTTGTATCTAATGTGTTTGCTACACAACCAATTAATGTCCGGGATAAGATATGTACGAAATGGAATTCTTGATGTCTACGTCCCCGAACAATTGTTCTCTTACTCCTTTCCATCAGTTTTTTTGTGTCTCTGATTTGGAACTCTGTGTAATGTAGCAACAGTAAAGACCTGGAGTATGAATACATATTCTTTATTAATCAAAGTCGCATTGTAGAGCCAAACAATGGGGCGTCGATACGTTGTCTGCACCAATTGACTCGTTGCTGCGCCTTGAACTGGTGTTCCGTGAACTTAGAAATACCAGTACTGCTGTACATGGTTCATCTTGAGTTTCATCACCTCCTCCGATAGATGTGGATATATTTGCTTTTCACAGCTTTCACGGTGAGCGTCGTCGATTTGCTTTCTTGCACTGGTGTGGAGTGACTTGACATTCACAAGTACTGTTCCGTTCCGGCTTGGTTGGTGTCCTTCTTGTCTTACTTCTTCTCTTTCTGATTCTAACTTCGTCTGCTTGTTGTCATTTTCGAATCACCTTGGGATTATTATGACGCGCTTTGATCCTTACTGGTCATATGTGTTGTTCAGCTGGTCACCGTCGAAAGCTGAGGGTAAAATGTAAACTAGTTTATTAATTTTGTCTCCATTCAGGAAAAGAGCGATGTTTCGTTTTTCAAATTCAATCGATCCTAATACTATAACATTGTCCTTTATATATTTTTTTGTAGCAACTTTGGCATCATGTGGCGATATTAAACTGTTTACTTTTGGAAATGGGCATCTAAAAGAAAATGCGGGTACATACCTGGCAAATAAGTCTTTGTGCTGTTCTTTTGTGTTGATAGTTCCAGGCACAATCTAGAAGCACTGATCTATGGCCTTGACCTCGGCATCTCTGTATGAACTCAGTACAGGCAGCTTCAAGGTCAGTAAATCCAAACTCGACCGCAGAACAAAGTAGTCCTGTAAATACATTGACAAATAAAACGTTAGTTGGGAACATTTGAAATGAAGTTCGTGAAAGATATTAATGAGGAAAATGTAATGATAAACGGTCATTCATTATGTTTATACTGATGACTAGAATACAAGGACACTCACCTATCACATTGCCAAGATCGACTCTGGCCTTCCCGGAGTGGACAAATTTGATGAATGTCTTGAAGTCCTCGACTTGGTATTCGGGGACGTTGATGAGGAGTCTCGGTGACAACGGAGAGTCTTTGACCTTAGATTTTTTCTTGTTGGAAATATCTTGCCTTGATTGTTTCTGGTGCTTTAATACCAGCTGGTACAGATATCTAAAAAGCGAAAATGGTTTATAAATGCACAGAAATGACTTCATTTTCGGGAATTTGTTTCTTGTGCCCTTGGAAAGGGTTTTGTCGCTTTCATTTTCTGAAATGGTAATGAAACATATCCCAAAAAAACAAAAATGTAAAAGGGTAAACCAGATTAGGTATAACCCTTACAATAAATCACATTCGGTAAATCATTCATAAAATATGAGTATCTTTGTCACACTGTTTTCGTGTAATAAAGAACACGACGTACCTGCTTCGCGTTGCCAAAATGGCTTTGACGCCATAAACAGGAACCTTTGTCTTGCCCACAAGAAAAGTGACGTCACACATATCAGGCATTTCCAAGATGAGTGCAAGGCTGTCCTGGAGTCCTCCTGTACTCCTGAACACCATGGCGTTCCCGCAGTGACTGTGTGGGACGGGGTTGGAGCGAGTCGAGGCTGGATGGAGGGAAGCGAACCCGGAAGGGACGTTGGGTACGTTGGTGGGGTTTACTTCTTCGTCAGAGCTGTAATCACTGGAGTCGTACCCAGATGAAGAGCTCTCGGCTGGAACAATCATGGAAATTAATCATCATAACATGTCTTGAAAAACACATTTTCACGTGTAGTTCACATTATATGTTCAATATCATACCATGATTACGACGACTTGCGCTACAGCTTGAAACTTAACGAGTGAATGGTGTTTTATGCCGTAATGTCACGAAATATTGCGGAGGTCTATAAAAACAATTCATGATAATCTAACAAAAACGGACTGGAAAATAATCGATGCTTGGTCAGACAAACCAGTGTGGGAAAGCCGGCATACTGGTAAAATTATTTTCAGTTTCATATACAAGGATGCATAGTAGGGATAAAGATTTATGGATGGACAACTTCTTTATTACAATTAGGAGCGACGTTTTGGTGTAGGTTCTATCACCGTTATCAAACATGTGTAATAAAGAAGTAGTTCATCCATAATTCGTATCCTTATTTAGACCTCCAACTTCTAAATGCCTCCCAAAGAAATTACTAGGAATCATGTTTGTGACAGGTTCTAAGACAAATATGAAGGTAAACTCACCATCAACATCACCGTCATTGCCCTGAACTGTTTCGAATTCAAGGACATCAGCATCCAACAGACAAACACGAGAATCATAACGGTTCATTCTTGATGTTTGGGAATAACTTAGACTAAATGTAAGGAAAAGCTGTGTTATGTTCAAATCCAAGAGGGGAATGACCGCATCTACAACAAGCTACATTATATAGCTGTACTTATAAAAACAACCAATGTCAGTGTCATTCATAAATCAATGTTGACACTGAGGCTTCAACTTCACGCGCTCTGCTCGTGCCACGTGATTCCACGCCGAATGAATTGCCACCACGTGATATCTGCTTATCACAACTGTTCATAGCTGAAGGTTGTTACGTGTCACAACACCGACGTAATTAAGGCATTAGGCTCAGCGATTTGTTAGGTTTACGGATTTATCCTATGAAAGGGGTTTAAGAGTTAAGTGGTCAATTAGAGATGTGATTATCAGATTATTAGTGAGATTGATAGATTTATGGACAAAGGCGAAACAACTGTTACACATTGCTCTTTTCAACAGATTCTGAAGTATTTGAGCTTCTTGAAATGAAAGTTTGCAATCACAACGGTGTTGTTAGAATGTACGCAACACCTGTGTAAATAGATAATAAATGGACAATCATTGATCTAAATTAAAACTAATTAAAATATATAAGCAAATACCTCCTACAACGACATATATTCAAATGGAATATATTGCACTTATTAATAACGCAATCGTATATGAATTTTCAAGATTTTAAATTTAAGAAATTCTAACCGAACATTTGTTTAATGGATGGCAATGAACAAAAAGGCTTCAACATTGTGTCAACAACGCACATAGCTTGTCGTTACATTTTGACACATTGTTGGAAAGAGCACATAAGCTAAACTCTTTTCTGCTTTGATGCCCTGTTATTATTTCATTTAAGATTTAAAGAAGGTGAACCAACTCTAGTTCTGCTAATATTCAGAGCTGTGTGTTTGAGCGTTAAAGCTAAATAAACATGCACGTTGGAGATGCAACGAGCCTTAAGGACTTTCACACCAGGCTTGACACGTACATGGAAGATTGATTTCACATGTATTTTTTTATTGCTGTAAATTTCAAACAACAGCGTTATCGTTAAGAGTGAAAAACATACCTTTTACATTATCCATTGCAGGATGATATCATTTCCAACTCTATTTTCAATTTTAAGCCCAATGTGTTCTGTTTCGGCAGATAATCGAGAATTAAAAAATCTTTATCTATGATGTTATATATTAATCTGAATTACCACAATCTTTTAATGTAGAGTATCAGCGAATGACCAGTCTCGAATATCCGGGGAGACAGATTCCATAGGGTGTTACAGGCAAAATAGTGGTGAAAATTATATGAAAACAAGTGATGACACCGGGTGTAGGCGAATATTATTAAATAATCAAACATGCTAACAATGACAATTTCTATTGCCCTTCAGGCCAACAGACCAATATAAGACATGCATTTACTTATATAGTATATTGTACACATATGCTCTGGTTACAACTTTATGTCCTGTATTTCCATGAATCTTGAACATATCGTACACACATTTAGCAAGCATTAATATTGTTTTTTATTATTATTTGACAAACAAAATGACCTTATATGATGATAATTAATCATATTTTGAAGAAAAACATGAAAAGCGTATGTCATTATATTTGGGCAAACAAGATGTAAAGATAAAGCGGTCTTTGAAAAATGATGAGTAAATTAGTATACATGTCTATGTCAGCCTCATCAGGTGTTGCAATCAGTGTACAATGTCTTTTATATACAATCAATAATTTATTTTACCTGTAATGAACAGTGCACTTGTTTTTGTCGATAATTAATAGACCCCCCCCCCCCCCACACACACACACACACACACACACATACTCACACCGAAGGTGAGTATAAATCGTATAGGTGTGGTTCATTAACGAGAATATTATATATACATTTGGCGACAAAAAAGATGAGATAAATACTGCATGAGAAGGGTTATAAAAGATTTATGCCAACATTATGTCGACCATGTCGAAATTGTTTCTTTACTATAACAGACATTTTAATTGGACTTAAGCCATATTTGACCACGTGTGCACAAGATACAGATGATGTTTGGCGAAATAGACACAATAATAATTACAATCCATTATTATTTGTACAGAATAATGTTCAGAACTTCGTCGAGGATAGACAATAAATATTTAACTTAATTGTTGTTTCTTAATTTTGAAGATTCACATACATATTTGGCTAAATTTCTTTGACAACTTGTGCCAGTGTGGCCGCTTGTTGTAGTACGAACTGTCAATTTTACAGTGCTGGCCCACTGGGCTACCATGCCGCAGTTTAACAGGAATCCCAAACTCACAAAACATTATACTGTCTCCGAGGCCTTGTTTTATCACATTATTTTTGAGCACCAGGCAGGGTAACAACAAGTATATTATATCAACGTCTTCGGCGTGAGGCGGTCGGGTGTCTTACACAATATCCTCAATGTCTATAGATATCTATGATTTGATATATTCCTGATTCATATATATACAAATATCAGTATGACATTATTTTTTTTAACTGTTGCTACATCTGCATAAAACAAGAAACCTGAACTCATATGTTTCGTGTTATACTGTAATTTGACGCGCCAATGATCACTATTGGCGTTTTAAATGAACACAGTGTGAATCGGACCTATGTTCTTTCCTTGTTACGCATTTGTCTGTATATACTTCACCTAATGTAAACGGAGACCTCTGTACATAGTGTCCGGTGTTTTCAATACCTTCTTACTATAAGCTTTGCACTGTGTACACCGAGTAAGCGACAGGCTTCGCGATTTAGATGTCGTAACTAAGATGCAGTTTCATTTGTCAACATGTTGTTGCTGTGAATTAAATCCTGGGTTTAACCACAATGCTGGTGATATAGAAGAAAGAAGAAGAAAGTGACATTTTAAGTGGTACCTGTTGTAAATGCGGCAATGTTCATCGCGATATAATTTACAGTGCCAAACCTTGGAAGTGTACAAGCAGCTATTCAAACATGTGCAACCATTCATGAAACTCACAATGCGTGAACAAGGAAATTAGTAACAGGGACAAATATTTTGTCATGTAATATTTATTCCACACATCTGTATAAATGAGAAAAAAATCAGTTATAAATGAATTCTATTTATGAGGGAACGGTAAAATATTACAATAAGAGAAAAAAACAGTCGTTATTTTCTTGTCGATCGAACGATCAGTCATCGTTATGAGAGTAAACAGTCGCTGAAATCATGTGAGGAATGTTTGATATAATCATAATGTGTGAATAATAAATTAAATTTCTGTTTTCCACTACAAATAGTTGTATTACTTGTTATATGATATATTTAAGTGTTCTTTAATTTTTATTACTATTCGAATTCCAAGTATGTTATGGGATACAACTGTGGTTTCTCTTTCATCCTAAAGTGCTTCATTTTGTTATAAGATCGAATTGAATGTATGATGTATCATATGGAAAAATAATTTATGTTAATGTCCATGTACGAAAAGTATTAAGTTGTAATAATTAATAAAATGCACCCATTCTATATACAGTGTATTGTATTAATGCGTATTGATCTCTCGATGTTATAATAATACCTACATAAAAAAGAAACACGAAACAGCTTTTCTTTCATGCATTCCTTTGTCACTTGCTACATTTCGTCTTCGAGTGGCCTCATTTAATTAGTTCGCTGCATGGAACTTTTGTTCATTTTGCTTCCAATGGAGCTTACAACGAATGCGAAGCTGTTGCCAGCAATCGTAAAATAAATATTGTTCCAAAGTGTAATCAACCAGTATTTACCCCACACCTTGCCTTCAACGGAACAATAGTAAATTGTGCTTTTGTACATGGAGCAACTGCGCGGTTCTGTTGTAGGCCTATTGTCCTTCCAAATCAATCACAGGTTCTTTAATCTGATAATACCATGCAATCAACCATCTTTACACTAAATCCTTCTTCAAAGTGACGCAGTTCACATGTAGGTGTGTTGACTAATCCTAATCAAAACTGTAAACTTCCTCTCACTTACACCTATTAATTAGTTAATTATGTCAGTGTTTTCGTTACTGACAAGTGTTGGACAGAGCGGTCAGTGGTCACGTGGTGGTCATTACTGTAATCACAACAGTAACTGACATGAGAAAGGTAACGTGGAAGCCTATGTGTCAACATAGGAGTTCTCGGGACAACGGCATTGTGGCACTGACATCTCCATCATTGTGTTGACAGTCAGGGGTATATAACAGGCAAGTGACCGCTTGTGGTCATTCCTTCTCGGACTTCCATACATTCACTTTGGATTACCAACAAGATCTGTGGATTTTATACGCATATTGGAATTACACACTACATCCAGAAACATGAACCGTTGTGATTCTCGTGTTCACCTGTTGGACTGTGATATCCTCGAGGATGTCCGTCAGGTAGAGCTAGAAGGTAGGTCCGACCTGTGTTATTATCACTCCGTACTATGGTGTGGGATGCATACAAACCGACCTCAAGAAAATTACTTCTGAAAGTTTCTGGAGTGTCCGAAATAAATATACTACCGTCGGTATACATTTTTACCCTTTCCATCACATTTTGGAGTGTCTCAGTAATTCTATCTACTTGATGAAATCATTTTTGATGAAATGGATGAAATGAATACATGAGGGTGTTCAACCCTACCTCATTTTTTTTTTGTACACTTTCAAGGCAGGAGTGTAATGGAATTGTGCATATTTATAATTCCTTTCCAATATTAGATGAATAAGAACAGGAAAGCATGCGCATGACAGCTTGTATTCAATAAATGTTTATTTTTCAGCTGAAAGTTCCTCTTCTGGGTACGATTCCGGCGAGGACGACGCCCCCTCTCGCTCCGCAATGAAGCCGTCCCGCCCCACCTCCACCCAAGGGGAGGTCATGATATTTAGAAGCACCGGGGGTCTGCACGATAGCCTCGCTCTCATTCTTGATATGCCAGAGATGTGTGACGTCACATTCCTGGTCGGGAGGAGGCAGGTTCCTATCTATGGTGTCAAGGCTATTCTGGCTACGAGAAGCAGGTAAGGTTCGATTACAACCACCCACCTGGGAAGGGATGGGCCTGCCATCGTCCAGTAACAGTCCCTCCATGCTAGTTCTCACTTGTGAGACTAGTAGCCATTGCTGATTTAGCTAATAACACTGAACAACTGAAATTTGTCCATTTTCCACACATAAGACAAGGCATGGAAACGGGCGCCATCACTACAATATCCCAATTAGGTTGCCTGTACTCCATATTTGAAGTGGGTATATTGAATAAATGACAGTCCCACACGTGACATGTATCCCGTCTATCATATGAGAACGTTACTAAAATAAGGTATAGAAGTAGCATTGTCCTACCAAGGAAGAAAGTGCCGCTTCATTCATTCATTCATCAACTACGCTTATGATGCATTTCTCAGCAGGCAATTTTTGTTCGTGTTGCAGATGCTTGTACCAACTAATTCTTCACCACCAAAGGAAGGCGGAGGCGGAATCATCCAACAAAAAGTCAAAGAAGGCAAAACATTCACCCCTCCCCCAGAAGCTGGTGATCAACGTGCAGGACTACTCAGCGGAGGATTTCAGGACGTTCATCACATTCGTACACTCGGGAAAGGTCAAGGTTGACGTCAGCAACGTAATTGGTAAGTCACGGGACAATATGAAACGAAGATGCAAGCACTACTGACTCTTCATATTCCAGTTCCTTGTTAAAAGTCAGGGCCATGATGTGTTTCATTTCAAATGAACAAAGTATTGAGTTTTGTTTTCGTTTCTTCAGGTCTCCTCTGTGCTTCTGTCGAATATGGATTCTCCGACCTTCAAGCCGCATGCACAAAGTTCATCCAGAGATCCCAGGAGCAAGGTCAAGGCAAATACGTTCTTGATTCAGCGTGGAACTACCAACACAAGAAGGCGGCTCAGAAACTTATTTGCAAGGTGAGCATCCTGATCTATATCTATACAGTGCACTGATGTTTCCTTGTTCACAATACCCGTAGGCTTCACCAAAAAATGGTGAACGCACAAGAACTACATCTCTACAGGCATCCTCCCACATTAATATAACGCGCCGTGCAAAATCCACCAAATGATTATAACGCTCACTCAAAGCGTTACATTATTAACCTGCAGTCAGTGTGCTCTCGATTTTCATTCTCAGCCTTCCTCGGGAGTTTTAATTCTCGCATTGTCATCAGCTCATATCGACCCTGTCTGTGAGACCGTTTTATCATTTCTCATTACTCTTTCAGCTCTCAAGTGTCTCCAGATGAATATGTCCAACTACCCATAGCTAATTGACGTCTCCTCACCATCAACAAGGGACTTCGTTCTTCCAGGGAAGATAGACGTTGTACGAGAGCAAGGATGGATATACCCTTTCAGAAAAGGGATCAATATAGTGCTGAACTTAAAGAATATGTGATACCTCGATCGAAAGACGGGGACAGTGTGCTGCTAGTCATTTGTAACCTCGAGTATATACACATGCATGACACAAGCTTGATGACTGCTTCAACCATGGCTTCAGCCATTAACGAAGCAATGTCAGAAGTGTATTACATGTCAACATCACTGGAGTTACTGATTAAGACCTATTTTATATATGTGTATTTTATCCAACTATGTGAGAGAATGTTATATCAGATATATTTTTACATATATGTTATTAAAGTGCTATTCATATATACACGTCTTTGTTGTTGCATTTTCGCCCTCCCATTACGCTTCCTTATAAATTAAATGCTTATACCGGTACAATCCATCGCGTGGATCCATGTGTCCTCTCAGCTGTGTTATTTCAAATACCTGTGATAAAGGTTAAGTTGCTATCGTTTCATATTGTGCATAACATTCTAGTAACCACGCCGATAGTCCAATTAGCGATCGTGACAAAGGTCGCAACAATGTGTCACCGAAAAGTCCATGTGTCATCAGCAGGGTGTACGAGGTTTTTTCGAGCTGAAGGAAAAGTCTCTGTAACAACATCTTACTACTCATGCTTGGGCTTGTTGCTATGTACTATGCTTATGGATCAGCTATTTGGGGTACAAGAGAATTTAGCTGTATCAACCGAGCATAAAGGGATTTCTAAGCAAAACACCGTCACTAACCAAACACAGATTTGAAATATTTCGGTTTTGGCGCGGATCAATCAATAACCTGAGCGCTATTTGCAGGTGGTCCGTTAAATACCGCAATTCATGGAATAACTAGTAAGTATTTGCATTACAAAGTAGACACAATTTATAGATAACAACTTCATTAATTACTGTCATCCGTCATGCATTTACAGTAATTAAAGAAGCTGTTATCTCTAAAGTGTGTCTACATTGTCATCCGTCATCCGTCAAGTAATGCCTATCAAACAATTCAAGTGCAATAAACTACGGATATAACGAACTCAAAGGGACCACTAATTCTAGTTCGCTATAACCGTAGTTCGTTATAAGCTCATATACAGCAAGACCACAGCAAATATTCGGGACAAAAAAGTAATTTCGCTATAGAAGCGTGTTCGTTTATAAACGTAGTTTCCTGTAATTGCCTTGCTTTGCAGCCTTCAATTACATGTTTTCGATTTGTACAATATTTCTTGTTCAGACTCAGCTGGCTAAAATGCTTTTCTTTCCTTAGATTACCATGACTGGTTTACAAAGTCTTTCGCTTGATCATAGCCAGGCAAATGAAACTTTCGTACATTGTGTTGAACCTCATGTATGTTTTGCTTAAATATATCTCAGCGTAGCATTGGGATAGACCTAGGTGAATTTGTTCGGTGGAGGTGGATTCCTATTAAAGGCAGAATACGTATATATAATAGTAACGTTGTGGATGACGAAACACATTTTCCAGCTGATTGTAGCTTCTACTCAGACCTGAGGTACAACCTACGGAAATTAGCATCCTAGAATTATCCTACATTTTCGCAGATGTCCTCTGTCGACCCGACCGTACTCCTAACGCGGAACGATTGGTCAGCGGGACCCTAGCCTTCTATAACATCGGGAATCCCTGCTCTGGTCCTGACAGATTTAATATGACAAATTTACTCTCTGAAGAGATATTGTTAGATATAAAGTAAAACAATATTCACTCTTTGGTAAACTGGGAGGACGACATGTACACGACATAGATATCTAAATCTTTTACATCTACACACAAGGTAGTACTTTGTGAATAAAGTTTATTAGGAACAGGAGAGATACGTATTTTCCGCCCACAACACAAAATAACACAAATGCACATAGACTGACGCGAAAAAATGTGTACACTTTCAAGGATCTCTATAAAGGATTAACCAAACTTCATGTCCGAACACGCGAACACTTGTGTCAAACTATTCAGTCGAATTGTTTACAACCGACTTGCCTTTTAGCGAACACCCGGTATCATCACTATTTTATAAAGACAAGCTCATGATATATATAGTGTATGAGTGAGTATGTTACCCTTTGGAGTATGTTAAGAAAAGAAGAGGGGCGAAATGGGCTTAACAAATTGAGAGTGCACCGATGTTACAAGCAAATGTACGGGACAGAAGGCTATGTAAGATGTCCAGAAACTATAGATCGGCACTAGCCAAGGTATACCTGTCCACAATATAAAATAGTTTCACTGGAATGACAGCGTAGAAGATGAGGTTCATGTTTTGTTTATCTGCGTTTATATGACGATATCCGGCAACTCTTTTTAATGTATTGATAGATCTCAGAATTTTTTAGATAAACCTATTGTCTATCTGTTCTTCATCAAATAACACTAGCGGTGATTTACAAAATGGGTAAATTCAAATATATAATGAAACTCAACGCCAGCTGACATTGTGCACAAAGGACATATTATATCAGGAATGAATTTATCTATATATAGGATAATAGTGATTGCTTCTTCTAAATCTAATCAAAAGGTTTTTACATATTACACTTATGTACATGTAAGGCTCTTTCCCAAGCTGACGTTGAATAACATTTACACATGTACACGTGATACAAGGTGGATCCCCAGTAGCCATTCCGTGATACAAGGTTGATCCCCAGTAGCCATTCCGTGATACAAGGTAGATCAACAGTACCCATTCCGCGAGACAAGGTACATCCCCAGTACCCATTCCGCGAGACAAGGGCCCAGTACCCATTCCGTGATACAAGGTAGATCCCCAGTACCCATTCCACGAGACAAGATAGATCTCCAGTACCCATTCCGCGAGACAAGGGCCCAGTACCCATACTGTGATACAAGGTAGATCCCCAGTACCCATTCCGCGAGAAAAGGGAGATCAGCAGTACCCATTCCGCGAGACAAGATAGATCTCCAGTACCCATTCCGCGAGACAAGGGCCCAGTACCCATTCCGTGATGCAAGGTCGATCCCCAGTACCCATTCCACGAGACAAGATAGATCTCCAGTACCCATTTCACGAGACAAGGGAGATCAGCAGTACCCATTCCGGGATACAAGGTAGATCCCCAGTACCCATTCTGGGAGACAAGGTAGATCCCCAGTACCCATTCCGTGATACAGAGGAGATCCCCACTACCCATTCCGGGAGACAAGGTCCCAGTACCCACTCCGTGATACAAGGTAGATCGCCAGTACCCATTTCACGAGACAAGGGAGATCAGCAATTATAAGTCTATTAATGTGCGTGATATATTCCGAATTTTTTTCGGCTTCAAAGTGAGGGTTGAAGAGGAGGGACATACATGTCGCTGTGGCATCCAGTGGGTTAGACTCTGAAAAGCCATAACGTTCAACACGGACGAAGGTGAACATTAGACTGAAGCACGAGCAAGTTATGAATGACTTACAATCAGGAAAGAAGTCCGTCATAATCTGACCTCAGGTCATCACCATGGAGTAGCCAATCACGGGCCTAGAATTGGATCTCACACATATGTTTGATACCAGTTATCGTAAATGGGTTTCTCACCCACAGGTGTGTAGGAAAAGGTAGATCCCCAGTACCCATTTCGCGAGACAAGGTAAGATCCCCAGTACCCATTCCGCGAGACAAGGACCCAGTACCCATTCCGTTATACAAGGTCGATCCCCAGTACCCATTCCGCGAGACAAGGTAAGATCCCCAGTACCAGTACCGCGAGACAAGGGCCCAGTACCCATTTCGTGATACAAGGTCGATCCCCAGTACCCATTCCGCAAGACAAGATAGATCTCCAGTACCCATTCCGCGAGACAAGGGCCCAGTACCCATTCCGTGATACAAGGTCGATCCCCAGTACCCATTCCGCGAGACAAGGTAGATCCCAAGTACCCATTCCGCAAGACAAGATAGATCAGCAGTACCCATTCCGCTAGACAAGATAGATCCCAAGTACCCATTCCGCGAGACAAGATAGATCAGCAGTACCCATTCCGCGAGACAAGATAGATCTCCAGTACCCATTCCGCGAGACAAGGGCCCAGTACCCATTCCGTGATACAAGGTAGATCCCCAGTACCCATTCCGCGAGAAAAGGGAGATCAGCAGTACCCATTCCGCGAGACAAGATAGATCTCCAGTGCCCATTCCGCGAGACAAGGGCCCAGTACCCATTCCGTGATGCAAGGTCGATCCCCAGTACCCATTCCACGAGACAAGATAGATCTCCAGTACCCATTTCACGAGACAAGGGAGATCAGCAGTACCCATTCGGGGATACAAGGTAGATCCCCAGTACCCATTCTGGGAGACAAGGTAGATCCCCAGTACCCATTCCGTGATACAGAGGAGATCCCCACTACCCATTCCGGGAGACAAGGTCCCAGTACCCACTCCGTGATACAAGGTAGATCGCCAGTACCCATTTCACGAGACAAGGGAGATCAGCAGTACCCATTCCGGGATACAAGGTAGATCCCCAGTACCCATTCCGGGAGACAAGGTAGATCCCCAGTACCCATTCCGTGATACAGAGGAGATCCCCACTACCCATTCCGGGAGACAAGGTCCCAGTACCCACTCCGTGATACAAGGTAGATCCCCAGTACCCATTCCGTGATACAAGGTAGATCCCCAGTACCCATTCCGTGATACAGAGGAGATCCCCAGTACCCATTCCGTGATACAGAGGAGATCCCCAGTACCCATTCCGTGATACAGAGGAGATCCCCAGTACCCATTCAGTGATAGATCCAAGTACCCAATTCGTGATACAAGGTAGATCCCCAGTACCCATTCCGTGATACAAGATAGGTCAGCAGTACCCATTCCGCGAGACAAGATAGATCCCAAGTACCCATTCCGCGAGACAAGATAGATCAGCAGTACCCATTCCGCGAGACAAGATAGATCTCCAGTACCCATTCCGCGAGACAAGGGCCCAGTACCCACTCTGTGATACAAGGTAGATCCCCAGTACCCATTCCACGAGACAAGGGAGATCAGCAGTACCCATTCCGGGATACAAGGTAGATCCTCAGTACCCATTCCGGGAGACAAGGTAGATCCCCAGTACCCATTCCGTGATACAGAGGAGATCCCCACTACCCATTCCGTGATAGATCCAAGTACCCATTCCGTGATACAAGGTAGATCCCCAGTACCCATCCCGTGATACAGAGAAGATCCCCAGTACCCATTCCG